TTGACTAGCTGTGAGTGGTTTTATGTGAGAGGATCACATTTGTGAGGTGTTAGTTTTATGTGAGAGGATCACATTTGTGAGGTGTTAGTTTTATGTGAGAGGATCACATTTGTGAGGTGTTAGTTGTTGTATGGAGAGAATCACACATTTGTGGGTGTACATTTTATACAAGAGATTGACAATATGACAAAGAACTGTTGATTTAAAAAAAAACTTTTATAATAAATGCTAGGAGATGGCAAACCAGCAGTACATATGCATTGTGTTTGCTTATCCTATTGTCTTGTCTGTACAATCTGATTTGCCGCCTTTCAGTCTGAGAACAACAGAAAAAAAAGTAGAAATAAAACCACAGACACATTTGCTTCCAGTAGATTTCTTTGTGTTTGTGGTGTTGGATTCATATAATTTGACACTGGTAGACATAGAAGGAATATGAGTATAATATGATTATTGGTAGCCATGACAGAATGATAAACATTTTTTTTTTTAAACGAACGCCAAATGAACAAATAATTTGTAGCCATGACAACAATGAACACAAACAAATGCATGCGGTCTCAAACTGGAGAGTTACAGGTGGCAACTGCGTCTTGTCCTAGGGAGGGATCATTCTGAGTCCAGCAGCTATCAGTGTTCAGCTGCGTCTTGTCCTGGGGAGGGATCATTCTGAGTCCAGCAGCTATCAGTGTTCAGCTGACTTTCAGATAAATAATTTTGTCATTTTATTTTACCTATTATTATTGACTGACTTTCAATGTTAATAGTTATCATTTCTATCTTTACTACTGCTGTAGTGTTCCATTTAAAAAAAAAAATTATTTACTGTTTCTTTTACCACCATCTTTTCCTCTTTTGTATATTGATAATTATTCTACGTGACTGGCCCTTCGAGGAGACAGGTGGCTAAATTATCTCCCTTTTCTGTTTGTTGTGTGCCAGTAAATGCTTGTGCAGAAATGTCCGTGTGTATGCGTTTCTTCCCTTCCCCACTTCACTGAGCTTCTTGGTCACAGTTCAGTTGCTTAAGGGAATGTTTGATTGATCTCAGACATGCATGGAGTGTGTGTACGTCATGATGTTTTCCTTATCCATTAGCCAGAACAATAAAGCTAAGAATGCAATCAGGAAAAACCTGACAGAACTTGGCCAGTACCTGTATTTTTCTTGACCAAGAAAGACAAGCTCATTATTATCAAGTGCCATGCTGATAAGCATGGATGGTCACTGGTCACCTTCACACAAGATCACCTGTCTTGGATTGTCTTTCTTCTCTCCCCCATTTATTATTTTCAGCTGGAAGACAAAACTGACAGCTTCTGTAGATTCCGCACATGGCTTCCTTCCAAATGTTTGGATTTGTTGTAGCTGCTGATGACAGTTAAACAGGACATGATTCTGTGACTGACAGTTAAACAGGACATGATTCTGTGACTGACAGTTAAACAGGACATGATTCTGTACCAGACAGTTAAACAGGACATTATTCTGTCACAGACAGTTAAGCAGGACATGATTCTGTGTCTGACAGTTAAACAGGACATGATTCTGTCACAGACAGTTAAACAGGACATGATTCTGTCACAGACAGTTAAACAAGACATGATTCTGTCACAGACAGTTAAACAGGACATGATTCTGTCACAGACAGTTAAACAGGACATGATTCTGTCACAGACAGTTAAAAAGGACATGATTCTGTCACAGACAGTTAAACAGGACATGATTCTGTGACTGACAGTTAACCAGGACATGATTCTGTGACTGACAGTTCAACACAGATGACAAAATGAACACTGTTGCTAGAAGCTTTCATCAGCTACAACACAGATGGCAAAATGAACACTGTTGCTAGAAGCTTTCATCACTACAACACAGATGACAAAATGAACACAGTTGCTAGAAGCTTTCATCACTACAACACAGATGACAAAATGAACACTGTTGCTAGAAGCTTTCATCAGCTACCACTTAGAAGACAAAATGAACACTGTTGCTAGAAGCTTTCATCAGCTACCACTTAGAAGACAAAATGAACACTGTTGCTAGAAGCTTTCATCACTACAACACAGATGACAAAATGAACACTGTTGCTAGAAGCTTTCATCAGCTACCACTTAGAAGACAAAATGAACACTGTTGCTAGAAGCTTTCATCACTACAACACAGATGACAAAATGAACACTGTTGCTAGAAGCTTTCATCACTACAACACAGATGACAAAATGAACACTGTTGCTAGAAGCTTTCATCAGCTACAACACAGATAGTACATCAGTTATCTGCCACATCTCCATAACCAATGTGAACAGTGGGTCTGTGTGTTGTTGCAGGAAATAGAAACTGACCCCTAGAACTGGCAGGGATAGTAGATGGTTACAGCAAAGAGGCACAACTTGTAAGGAAGTTCTTCACAAATTCTGGACAGAAGTAATACATAATTCTGTATCATCTGTAATACAGAACCACAATTCTACCTCATCAGTAACATGCAGCTATGATTCTATACTTTGTGTATGATGATAGTTGATAGTATTTGCCATCTATAATTTGCCACCATCTACAAGATGACCCTTAGTTTTTGTTAGTCCATAATTAATGATAAATATTGTATACATATTCCATGTATAAGACTACCTCCAGCTTTCATCTGAAACAATTAAGGAAAACATGTCTTATACCTGGACAAATATGGCACCATCCGGAAACCAGATAAATCAAACCATTTACAATTAAAAAAGCAGCAACAAACTGGACAACATACACAAAAACAACCTATCACAAACATATCTTCCGTGATATAGTTGTCAGGGTAAGGGAGATAACAGTGTCTCCTCACCTATCGGCTAGCCCAGGATCCCTTGACATATTTAAGTTGACATACACCTGGCATCTTGTGGTGCTCCACAATCTTAATTCAAATACCAGATTGTACAAGTATTTCTGGATCTGTCATGATCAATCACGTATGTTCCCATATAACCTCAATCTGATCTATCTGCCAACATGTACAAGACGTGTGAAATCTGTCAAATTAATACACCAGTCTACACTTCTGTCACATTATTGCACATCTGTCCAAATTAATACATACCTGTCAAATTATTACATACCTGTCACCCACATTAATATATGTCAGCCACATTAATACACGTCAGCCACATTAATACACATTCTATCACATTAATACATATCTGTTAAATTAATACATATCTGTTAAATTAATACATGTCTGTCAAACTAATACATATCTGTCAAATTAATACACATCTGTCAAATTATTACATATCTGTTAAATTAATACACGTCTGTCAAATTAATACACATCTGTTAAATAAATACACATGTGTCAAATAAATACACGTCTGTCAAATAAATACACGTCTGTCAAATAAATACACGTCTGTCAAAGTGAAATATCTGTCAAATTGAAACAGATTTGTCAAATAAATACACATGTGTCAAATAAATACACGTCTGTCAAAGTGAAATATCTGTCAAATTGAAACAGATTTGTTAAATGTATACACATCTGAATGAGACTCTGGTATTGAGACATAATATGTCAGTGATCAAATAAATGAGACTGTAGACACCCTAAAGGTGGTTGCTACCAGACATCAGTCACAGCCTGACGGTGGATCCTACCAGACATCAGTCACACCCTGATGGTTTTCTCAGTCTCAGCAAATATTTTCTGTTTGTTTACTGGACTGGGAAGCTTGCTGGTCTGTTTGTATGTGCTGTTTGTTTACTGGACAGGAAGCTTGCTGGTATGTTTGTGCTGTTTGTTTACTGGACTGGAAATCTTGCTGGTCTGTTTGTATGTGCTGTTTGTTTACTGGACTGGAAAGCTTGCTGGTCTGTTTGTATGTGCTGTTTGTTTACTGGACTGGGAAACTTGCTGGTCTGTTTGTATGTGCTGTTTGTTTACTGGACTGGAAAGCTTGCTGGTCTTTTTGTGCTGTTTGTTTACTGGACTGAGAAGCTTGCTGGTCTGTTTGTGCTGTCTGTTTACTGGACAGGAAACTTGTGCAGCCTGTGTCACATACATGAGATAGACAAAAAAATATGTTTTATGTCACATATCAGATAAGTAGGTAATATGTGTGTCATATGTCGGACAGGTGCATGGACTGTTGTGTCTGACAGAATATGTGATATGTTAGATATTGACACTTCTGTCTGTGTGGGTTCTGGGAGAAACAGGAATAGATGCCCCTTCCCTCCATCCAAAGGTCCTGTTGTACAAGATGACTAAATAATGTTTTCTCTCAAAGCCAGAGTGCATCTGCTTCAGATGTGAGGAACCAACAGTCTGCATACAATTGAGCCAGCTCTGTAAAATGGATGTGCCCACAAAATCACATTCTGTAATAAGACTCAAATCCAGTGGTGCAGAAATTTCTGCCAGAGTTTACAGCAGGTGAACAAACAAAAATAAAAAAAGGCATTCCTGATATTAGTTTTGTGTCCGTTCATATGTGATATGTTAGATACTGAAATTCCTGACCCCAGTTGTGTGTGATAAGTCAGACACTGATCATCAGTTGTTGAACTGTCTGATAAACAACATTGTAGGGGTTCACAAGACTATGTTTGACGATGTATATGGTTAGAGATCATTGTAGGGTCACGGGGTCAGAAGTTGATCAATGTTTATGCCCACAAAATTCACATTCCATGAAGTCAATGGGAAATCCATCCACATGTGGTCATAACTGACCTGGTAAACACACGGACATGTTTGTAGACAAATCCATCCACATGTGGTCACAACTGACCTGGTAAACACACGAACATGTTTGTAGACAAATCCATCCACATGTGGTCACAACTGACCTGGTAAACACACGGACATGTTTGTAGACAAAATATTAGTACATTTGGTTGAACCTGTCCAAACAGGTCATATCAGCGGAGGTGATCATTTGTTGCTGCTGGTATATCTGGGGTGATGTGTATGCCACATGATGTGGCTAAGACGCTGATGATGACCATTAAACAACCGTGGTAGGAAACATGGTAGTAGTGGAGATGTGATGTGTGATGTTGTCAGATTGCAGGCAGTAGGCGGGCTCCTTGCCATGGCTACAGCTAGAGCCATGGAATATGTTGATGATGGCCATGATGAAGCCAACTACAGCAACCACCACACCAAACGCCATCAGCAGGATGGGAGCAATGTTTCGCCGAGAGAAAATGGCCTCCTGTCTCAGCCTCATGACACAAGCAGCAGGGATGATGTAAGCCAACGGAGCTGCTGCAATCACACCCTGCAGATAAACCACAGATTCTCTTCATAGGGTCACCATATACACATGTCAGCAACAGTAACAGATTCTCTACATGGGGTCTCCATAAACACATGTCAGCAACAACAGATTCTCTACATGGGGTCTCCATAAACACATGTCAGCAACAACAGATTCTCTACATGGGGTCTCCATAAACACATGTCAGCAACAACAGATTCTCTACACAGGGTCTCCATAAACACATGTCAGCAACAACAGATTCTCTACACAGGGTCTCCATAAACACATGTCAGCAACAACAGATTCTCTACACAGGGTCTCCATAAACACATGTCAGCAACAACAGATTCTCTACACAGGGTCTCCATAAACACATGTCAGCAACAACAGATTCTCTACACAGGGTCTCCATAAACACATGTCAGCAACAACAGATTCTCTACACAGGGTCTCCATAAACACATGTCAGCAACAACAGATTCTCTACACAGGGTCTCCATAAACACATGTCAACAACAACAACATATTGTCTACACAGGGTCTCCATAAACACACGTCAGCAACAACAGATTCTCTACACAGGGTCCCCATAAACACATGTCAACAACAACAACATATTGTCTACACAGGGTCTCCATAAACACACGTCAGCAACAACAGATTCTCTACACACGGTCACCATAAACACATGTCAGCAAAAACAGATTCTGTTCACAGGGTCACCAAAAACACATGTCAGCAACAACAGATTCTCTACACAGGGTCTCCATAAACACATGTCAACAACAACAACATATTGTCTACACAGGGTCTCCATAAACACATGTCAGCAACAACAGATTCTCTACACAGGGTCTCCATAAACACATGTCAGCAACAACAGATTCTGTTCACAGGGTCTCCATAAACACATGTCAGCAACAACAGATTCTCTACACAGGGTCCCCATAAACACATGTCAACAACAACAACAGATTCTCTACATAGGGTCCCAATAAACACATGTCAACAACAACAACAGATTCTCTACATAGGGTCTCCATAAACACAAGTCAGCAACAACAGATTCTGTTCACAGGGTCACCATAAACACATGTCAGCAACAACAACAGATTTTCAACATAGGGTCACCATAAACACATCCCAACAACAAAACATTCTCTACACAGGGTGAACATAAACACCAGCAACAACAACATATTCTCTACACAGGGTCACCACAAATTCATGACAGCAACAACAATCTATTCTCGTAACCTATTTTCTACACAGGGTCACCATAAAGGATGATCAAAAACAACAACAGATTTTCTACATGATGTCTTCATAAACACACGTCACAAAAAGAACAACAGATTCTCTACATAGGGTCTCCATAAACACATGTAAGCAACAACAACATCAGATTCTCTTCACAAGGTCTTCAACACATGTAAAAAAAAACAACAACAGTTCATTTAAGTAGATATAATAAGACAAGACAACAAAACAGTAATCCCATGCACACATGTCAACAACAATCTGACACTGAGCCAACAGACTGACACAATCTTACATTCAACTCCAAGACCACCCCAAGACAGTCTGTTGTCATGGATACAGCAGCAGTCAGGGCCACGATGACTATTGTGACAGTGACGTGCCTCCAGAGTGGAGCCTCCGGGTTGGATGGAAAAATTACATTTTCTACCACCTGAAAACATGGGAAAAATCAGAGCGACATGTCAGGGAATATTATACACACTCTACCAGATGACAAATTTAGATATGAAATGAGGTGACACATTCCAACTCTTGCCTCCTGACAGTGCCGTAAGGTGAAATTCTGACCCAGATTCTGGCAGTGCCGACACACCATTGGGCATAGTCGAGAATTTATCATCCTATCAGGCACACTGGCTATATGTTGGATGTCCCATATTGTAAGACCACGTGATGCCCTCAGCATGTGTGTACCTGTCATCTTTACACTTGATGCCCTCAGCATGTGTGCACCTGTCATCTTTACACTTGATGCCCTCAGCATGTGTGCACCTGTCATCTTTACACTTGATGCCCTCAGCATGTGTGTACCTGTCATCTTTACACTTGATGCCCTCAGCATGTGTGTACCTGTCATCTTTACACTTGATGCCCTCAGCATGTGTATACCTGTCATCTTTACACTTGATGCCCTCAGCATGTGTGTACCTGTCATCTTTACACTTGATGCCCTCAGCATGTGTGTACCTGTCATCTTTACACTTGATGCCCTCAACATGTGTGTACCTGTCATCTTTACACTTGATGCCCTCAGCATGTGTGTACCTGTCATCTTTACACTTGATGCCCTCAGCATGTGTGTACCTGTCATCTTTACACTTGATGCCCTCAGCATGTGTGTACCTGTCATCTTTACACTTGATGCCCTCAGCATGTGTGTACCTGTCATCTTTACACTTGATGCCCTCAGCATGTGTGTACCTGTCATCTTTACACTTGATGCCCTCAGCATGTGTGCACCTGTCATCTTTACACTTGATGCCCTCAGCATGTGTGCACCTGTCATCTTTACACTTGATGCCCTCAGCATGTGTGCACCTGTCATCTTTACACTTGATGCCCTCAGCATGTGTGCACCTGTCATCTTTACACTTGATGCCCTCAGCATGTGTGCACCAGTCACCTTTAAACTTGATGCCCTCAGCATGTGTGCACCTGTCACCTTTAAACTTGATGCCCTCAGCATGTGTGTACCTGTCATCTTTACACTTGATGCCCTCAGCATGTGTGCATCTGTACAGTTGACACCATCAGCATGAGAGAATTGATCACATCTGCAACTAGGACATTTCTAGCTACTGTTCTAGGCTGGGTGAACCTGGGTGGCGGGCTAGCCACAATATTACAGTGCCATTAATTCCACCACAACTGAACACTCTCCTGGCAGAAACAGCAGCAACTTCTCTCTGTTAGAGTAAAAAAAACTTTGCTGAAGGAGTCAAAATGGCTGATCTCTGTAAAAGTAGAACACACTGCTGGGGAAGCCCTACTGCTGAGCCAGTAATAACTGATTTGTGTTTTTTTTTTTTTAAATAAGCATGACTATATATAATGTCTTACCCCATGACTATATATAATGTCTTACCCCATGACTATATATAATGTCTTACCCCATGACAATATACAATGTCTTACCCCATGACAATATATAATGTTTTACCCCATGACTATATATAATGTCTTACCCCATGACAATATATAATGTCTTACCCCATGACTATATATAATGTCTTACCCCATGACTATATAAAATGTCTTACCCCATGACAATATATAATGTCTTACCCCATGACTATATATAATGTCTTACCCCATGACTATATATAATGTCTTACCCCATGACAATATATAATGTCTTACCCCATGACTATATATAATGTCTTACCCCATGACAATATATAATGTCTTACCCCATGACTATATATAATGTCTTACCCCATGACTATATATAATGTCTTACCCCATGACAATATATAATGTCTTACCCCATAACTATATATAATGTCTTACCCCATGACTATATATAATGTCTTACCCCATGACTATATAAAATGTCTTACCCCATGACAATATATAATGTCTTACCCCATGACTATATATAATGTCTTACCCCATGACTATATATAATGTCTTACCCCATGACTATATATAATGTCTTACCCCATGACTATATATAATGTTTTACCCCATGACTATATATAATGTCTTACCCCATGACTATATATAATGTCTTACCCCATGACTATATACAATGTCTTACCCCATGACAATATATAATGTATTACCCCATGACTATATATAATGTCTTACCCCATGACTATATATAATGTCTTACCCCATGACTATATACAATGTCTTACCCCATGACAATATATAATGTATTACCCCATGACTATATATAATGTCTTACCCCATGACTATATATAATGTCTTACCCCATGACTATATACAATGTCTTACCCCATGACTATATATAATGTCTTACCCCATGACTATATATAATGTCTTACCCCATGACTATATACAATGTCTTACCCCATGACTATATACAATGTCTTACCCCATGACTATATATAATGTCTTACCCCATGACAATATATAATGTCTTACCCCATGACTATATATAATGTCTTACCCCATGACTATATATAATGTCTTACCCCATGACAATATATAATGTCTTACCCCATGACAATATACAATGTTTTACCCCATGACTATATATAATGTCTTACCCCATGACTATATATAATGTATAATGACTATATATAGTTACCCCATGACTATATATAATGTCTTACCCCCATGACTATATATAATGTCTTACCCCATGACTATATACAATGTCTTACCCCATGACAATATATAATGTATTACCCCATGACTATATAATTCTTACCCCATGACTATATATAATGTCTTACCCCATGACTATATATAATGTCTTACCCATTACCCCATGACTATATACAATGTCTTACCCCATGACTATATATAATAATGTCTTATAATTAATGTCTTACCCATGACTATATATAATGTCTTACCCCATGACTATATATAATGTCTTACCCCATGACTATATACAATGTCTTACCCCATGACTATATATAAGTATACCCCATGTAAATATAATGTCCCCATGACTATATATAATGTCTTACCCCATGACTATATTCAATAATGTCTTACCCCATGACAAATATACTAAATAATGGTATTACCCCATGACTATATATAATGTCTTACCCATGACTATATATAATGTCCTTACCCCATGACTATATACAATGTCTTACCCCATGACTATATATAAATGTATTACCCCATGACTATATATAATGTCTTACCCCATGACTATATATAATGTCTTACCCCATGACTATATACAATGTCTTACCCCTATAATAAATGTCTTACCAGCTATATAATGTCCTTACCCCATGACTATATATAATGTCTTAACCCCATGAATATATATAATGTCTTACCCCATGACTAAGCATATAACATGTCAGCAATAACTCATCCCTCTAGCAGTAACATGTCAGCAATAACTCATCCTCTAGCAGAAAAACATGGTCAGCATAACTCATCCCTCTAGCAGAAACATGTCAGCAATAACTCATCCCTCTAGCAGAAACATGTCAGCAATAACTCATCCCTCTAGCAGAAACATGTCAGCAATAACTCATCCCTCTAGCAGAAACATGTCAGCAATAACTCATCCCTCTAGCAGAAACATGTCAGCAATAACTCATCCCTCTAGCAGAAACATGTCAGCAATAACTCATCCCTCTAGCAGAAACATGTCAGCAATAACTCATCCCTCTAGCAGAAACATGTCAGCAATAACTCATCCCTCTAGCAGAAACAAACATGTCAGCAATAATGTCATCATCCCCTCTAGCAGAAACATGTCAGCAATAACTCATCCCTCTAGCAGAAACATGTCAGCAATAACTCATCCCTCTAGCAGAAAACATGTCAGCAATAACTCATCCCTCTAGCAGAAACATGTCAGCAATAACTCATCCCTCTAGCAGAAACATGTCAGCAATAACTCATCCCTCTAGCAGAAACATGTCAGCAATAACTCATCCCTCTAGCAGAAACATGTCAGCAATAACTCATCCCTCTAGCAGAAACTGTCAGCAATAAATAACTCATCCCTCTAGCAGAAACATGTCAGCAATAACTCATCCCTCTAGCAGAAACATGTCAGCAATAACTAATCCCTCTAGCAGAAACATGTCAGCAATAACTCATCCCTCTAGCAGAAACATGTCAGCAATAACTCATCCCTCTAGCAGAAACATGTCAGCAATAACTCATCCCCCCTCTATGCAGCAATAACTCATCCCTCTAGCAAACATGTCAGCAATAACTCATCCATCTAGCAGAAAACATGTCAGCAATAACTCATCCCTCTAGCAGAAACATGTCAGCAATAACTCATCCCTCTAGCAGAAACATGTCAGCAATAACTCATCCCTCTAGCAGAAACATGTCAGCAATAACTCATCCCTCTAGCAGAAACATGTCAGCAATAACTCATCCCTCTAGCAGAAACATGTCAGCAATAACTCATCCCTCTAGCAGAAACATGTCAGCAATAACTCATCCCTCTAGCAGAAAAATGTCAGCAATAACTCATCCCTCTAGCAGAAACATGTCAGCAATAACTCATCCCTCTAGCAGAAACATGTCAGCAATAACTCATCCCTCTAGCAGTAACATGTCAGCATTAACTCATCCCTCTAGCAGAAACATGTCAGCAATAACTCATCCCTCTAGCAGAAACATGTCAGCAATAACTCATCCCTCTAGCAGAAACATGTCAGCAATAACTCACCTCTTTACCACTAACATTTTAGCAATAACACATCCCTCTAGCAGAAACATGTCAGCAATAACTCATCCCTCTAGCAGAAACATGTCAGCAATAACTCATCCCTCTAGCAGAAACATGTCAGCAATAACTCATCCCTCTAGCAGTAACATGTCAGCTATAACTCATCCCTCTAGCAGTAACATGTCAGCAATAACTCATCCCTCTAGCAGAAAATCATGTCAGCAATAACTCATCCCTCTAGCAGAAACATGTCAGCAATAACTCACCTCTTTACCACTAACATTTTAGCAATAACACATCCCTCTAGCAGAAACATGTCAGCAATAACTCATCCCTCTAGCAGAAACATGTCAGCAATAACTCATCCCTCTAGCAGAAACATGTCAGCAATAACTCATCCCTCTAGCAGAAACATGTCAGCAATAACTCATCCCTCTAGCAGAAACATGTCAGCAATAACTCATCCCTCTAGCAGAAACATGTCAGCAATAACTCATCCCTCTAGCAGAAACATGTCAGCAATAACTCATCCCTCTAGCAGAAACATGTCAGCAATAACTCATCCCTCTAGCAGAAACATGTCAGCAATAACTCATCCCTCTAGCAGAAACATGTCAGCAGCATAACTCATAACTCCCTCTAGCAGAAACATGTCAGCAATAACTCATCCCTCTAGCAGAAACATGTTAGCAATAACTCATCCCTCTAGCAGAAACAACATAACTCATCCCTCTAGCAGAAACATGTCAGCAATAACTCATCCCTCTAGCAGAAACATGTCAGCAATAACTCAAGCAGAAACATGTCAGCAATAACTCATCCCTCTAGCAGAAACATGTCAGCAATAACTCATCCCCTCTAGCAGAAACATGTCAGCAATAACTCATCCCTCTAGCAGAAACATGTCAGCAATAAATCATCCCTCAGCCCTAACTCATCCCTCTAGCAAACATGTCAGCAATAACTCATCCCTCTAGCAGAAACATGTCAGCAATCAGCAGAAACATCAGCAATAACTCATCCCTCTAGCAGAAACATGTCAGCAATAACTCATCCCTCTAGCAGAAAACATGTCAGCAATAACTCATCCCTCTAGCAGAAACTGTCAGCAGTAACATCCCTCTCAGCAGAATAATTTCAGCCCTAACTCATCCCTCTAGCAAAACATGTCAGCAATAACTCATCCCTCTAGCAGAAACATGTCAGCAATAACTCATCCCTCTAGCAGAAACATGTCAGCAATAACTCATCCCTCTAGCAGAAACATGTCAGCAATAACTCATCCTCTCTAGTAACATGTCAGCAATAACATGTAGCAGAAACAGTCAAGCAATAACTCATCCCTCTAGCATATCCCTCTAGCAAACATGTCAGCAATAACTCATCCCTCTAGCAGAAACATGTCAGCAATAACTCATCCCTCTAGCAGAAACATGTCAGCAATAACTCATCCCTCTAGCAGAAACATGTCAGCAAACTCACTCGTTGGCATCCTCTAGCATTTGAAAGCGAAACACAGTTGATAACCGCAGCTACCTCGAATCCCTCTAGCAGAAACATGTCAGCATCTAACTCATCTAGCAGAAACTCTAGACAGGTGACAGGGGAGTGATTGAGAAACCAGAAAGTCAGCAATAAACTCAGATCCCTCTAAAGTTAGTTAGGACTGGACCGCTGGAGAGATCAGTTAGGAGAAAACTAGTGCTGTACTTCGTTTAGAAGGTATATGTTAAACTTGGAGTTTAGCTAGAACAGTGATTAAGGAACTCGTAGAGAGACATGAGAATAGACAGTAACAAGATAATGAAGTGTTCATATACTATTGCTTATTGAATTTATGAATTCTGTGTGACGAGAATATTGTGAATAAACCAGCTCTCGTGTAATTGTTACATCACTGGCCTTGTTCTTGAGTACGACTGAAGAGAGCTACGAACTATATCCATTCACCCTTGGCCGAACTAGGCACATCTATTTCTTGGGGGATGTATAGGCACGACTGTGCCACACTAGCAGTAACTTGTCAGCTATATTTCATCCCTCTAGCAGTAACATGTCAGCTATAATTCATCCCTCTAACAGTAACCTGTCAGGAAAAACTCACCCCTCTAGCAGTAACCTGTCAGCAATAACTGATCCCTCTAGCACCAACATGTCAGCAATAACTGATCCCTCTAGCACCAACATGTCAGCAATAACTGATCCCTTTAGCACCAACATGTCAGCAATAACTGATCCCTCTAGCACCAACATGTCAGCAATAACTGATCCCTCTAGCACCAACATGTCAGCAATAACTGATCCCTCTAGCACCAACATGTCAGCGATAACTGATCCCTCTAGCACCAACATGTCAGCAATAACTGATCCCTTTAGCAGTAACTTGTGAGTAAAAACTCACCCCTCTAACAGTAACCTGTCAGGAAAAACTCACCCCTCTGGTGACGAAACACTCAACAGGATAGGTCAGCATGATGGTGATGGCAAAGCACAGACGTGATATATTCATCAGAATGTCATTTCTGCAATAGTTTTCTAGCAAATCACCTGTGTTAGAGACAGGAGTCATGGAACTGGTCACACAATGAAGCACACACAAAATGAAATACACACACACACATAATGCAACATACATGTAATGAAACACACGCCCATAATAAAACACATAGTGAAACACACACATGTAATGAAACACATACCCAAAGTGAAACACACACACCCAAAGTTAAATACACACATAATGAAACACACACACACGCACACACAATAAAAGACACACATAATCAAAGACACACAAAATAAAACACATACACATATAGAAACCCACACACAGACAAACACCTAATGATACATCCACACATGCTAATCACACACACACACATAATGAAAAACACATACAAATAATAAAACACACACATATAATGAAACTATGCACATAATGAAACACACACACAATGACACACATACATAATAAAACACACAAAATGAAACACACACATATTTAAAAAAACAATGAAACACACACACAAAATGAAACACACACATAATGATAAACACACAAAATGAAACAAAAGACATAATGAAACACACACACACACAATAAAACACATATAATGAAACACACACAGAACACAAAGAGGCAGAAACCAACCTTCTGTGTTTCCTGTGAAGGAAGCGTAGCCTGTGATGCCCAGAATCAGCAGCATGACCATGGCGAACAAGACGCTGAAGTGGGTCACAAACCCCCAGCGCTTCTTGGTGGGGTTCTCCAGGGACGAGTGAATGAGGAACATGCTGTGGTGGCACATGTATGCTGTAGACAAGAGTTGATGATAAATGGATGAGACACATGCTGTGCTGGCACATGTATGCTGTAGACAAGAGTTGATGATAAATGGATGAGACACATGCTGTGGTGGCACATGTATGCTGTAGACAAGAGTTGATGATAAATGGATGAGACACATGCTGTGGTGGCACATGTATGCTGTAGACAAAACTTGATGATAAATGGATGAGACACATGCTGTGCTGGCACATGTATGCTGTAGACAAGACTTGATGATAAATGGATGAGACACATGCTGTGCTGGCACATGTATGCTGTAGACAAGACTTGATGATAAATGGATGAGACACATGCTGTGCTGGCACATGTATGCTGTAGACAAGAGTTGATGATAAATGGATGAGACACATGCTGTGGTGGCACATGTATGCTGTAGACAAGACTTGATGATATATGGATGAGACATATGCTGTGCTGGCACATGTATGCTGTAGACAAGAGTTGATGATAAATGGATGAGACACATGCTGTGGTAGCACATGTATGCTGTAGACAAGAGTTGATGATAAATGGATGAGACATATGCTGTGCTGGCACATGTATGACGTAGACAAGAGTTGATGATAAATGGATGAGACACATGCTGTGGTAGCACCTGTATGCTGTAGACAAGAGTTGATGATAAATGGATGAGACATATGCTGTGCTGGCACATGTATGCTGTAGACAAGAGTTGATGATAAATGGATGAGACATATGCTGTGGTAGCACCTGTATGCTGTAGACAAGAGTTGATGATAAATGGATGAGACACATGCTGTGGTAGCACCTGTATGCTGTAGACAAGAGTTGATGATAAATGGATGAGACACATGCTGTGCTGGCACATGTATGCTGTAGACAAGAGTTGATGATAAATGGATGAGACACATGCTGTGCTGACACATGTATGCTGTAGACAAAAGTTGATGATAAATGGATGAGACACATGCTGTGCTGGCACATGTATGCTGTAGACAAGAGGTGATGATAAATGGATGAGACACATGCTGTGGTGGCACATGTATGCTGTAGACAAGAGTTGATGATAAATGGATGAGACACATGCTCTGGTGGCACATATATGCTGTAGACACTCACTGGTCACAACACTCACTGGTCACACACTCATTGGTCACAACACTCACTGGTCACAACTGTCATTGGTCACAACACTCACTGGTCAAAATTGTTACCGGTCACAACTGTCACTGGTCACAACTGGCACTGGTCACAACACTCACTGGTCACACCTCTCACTGGTCACAACTGTCACTGGTCACAACTGTCACTGGTCACACCTGTCACTGGTCACAACTGTCACTGGTCACAACTGTCACTGGTCACACCTGTCACTGGTCACAACTATCACTGGTCACAACTGTCACTTGTCACAAATGTCACTGGTCAAACCTGTCACTGGTCACAACACTCACTGGTCACAACACTCACTGGTCACACACTCACTGGTCATTACACTCACTGGTCACAACTCTCACTGGTCACAACACTCACTGGTCACACACTCACTGGTCATTACACTTACTGGTCACAAATCTTACTGGTCACAACTGTCACTAGTCACACCTCTGACTGGTCACAACTGTCACTGGTCACAACACTCACTGGTAACAACTGTCACTGGTAACAACTGTCACTGGTCACAAATCTCACTGGTCACAACTGTCACTGGTCACAACACTCACTGGTAACAACACTCACTGGTCACAACTGTCACTGGTCACACCTGTCACTGGTCACAACTATCACTGGTCACAACTGTCACTGGTCACACCTGTCACTGGTCACAACTCTTACTGGTCACAACACTCACCAAATGCCATGATGCCCACAGCCTGTGATATATTGTAGTTGGCAAACTCCCAGGCATCCTGTGTGGGGGTGCTGTGGATCAATGGTGTGGTTGTGACAACTATCTCAAAATGCCACATGCAGACTCTCTCTCTCTTTCTCCACTAGTTATGTGTTTATTCTAATATTTGGAACAAAATTGGGTTCTGAGCCGTGCTACTACCATAACCGAAACCAAATAAAGACCATTCCAAGATCAGTGGCTACAGAATCATTACCATGCAGAACACTACGGGCAAGCTTCTGGAGAAAATTGTAGCACGTAAACTCGCTGATGACTTGGAAAAGCCAGTCAGGTTACCATCCACACTTGGGGGACACAGACGAAACAAAGAGACATGGCTCAATGTAGCAGTCTTCGCCTGTGAAGTCTATGAAGGTTTTCAGATGAGAGAAGAGACATGTGCAGCTGCACTAGACTTAGAGGATGCCAACAACAGAGTACCATTTGAATACTTGGTGCACATACTCCTCCAACTGCTAATATCTCCCTTTATCACTCGCTGGGTAGCTGCAGTACAGATGGGTGACACTCAGGTGTGGTTGTTGGTCTTCAGAACCGATAACTATCAGCCTAGGATTGCCTCAAGGTCCTCTGCTAACTCCAGTGCTATTCAACGTGTACACAGTGCTGATAACTGAGCAGCAGTTGCATGGGAGTGGCAGGACCTTGTCATTTGCTGATGACCTCTTAGTATATCTACATGAAAGAGATCATCAAGAGATTGCCAAGTCAATGCAGAGTGAACTTGATCCCATCTCCTCCAGGTGTGCAGATTCTAATGCTCATGTCAACCCTTTGAAGGCCTCAGTAACGTGGTTCTCCTTGAACATGCATATAGTGAAGGCAGACTTACCAGCAGTGGAAAGTAGCTGGAAATTTTGATGAGAAAAAAATCTGATGACATACCTCGGAGTGAGGTTTGATCGCAGCTTATCCTTCAAAGAACATGTTGACCATGTCATTGCCCTTAGAGAGACAGGACTTTCTAAGGATTTTGGAACTAACAAGTCCACATCACTGCTAAGGATACGCGAATTGGGAATAAAGATCAGCACAGCCAAGAATGAGAAGCACACCTGATGAACACAAAGTCTTGTTAACCAACATAGGACTGGCACTATTACCCTCACGACGCTAATGAATATGTGTCCGGAGTGCTGTGAAGATAATGTAACTCATAACTCATAACTCAATAAAAACAACAAAACTAACAGTAACAACAACAGTAACAACCACAGTTAATAGTAGCAACAGCAGTTGTTGTGACAGACAAGGCATCAGCTGTCAGACTTACATCTTCCCAATGAATGTGCTCAGTCTGATGATGACGGCAATCATGATGAAGAAAATCAGGAGGATTGACAAAAAGGCCCACTGAAGGAGGAAATCAAGTAAACTTTAAAATAGGGATCCAAGTTCATGAAGACAACGCAAATGTACAGTCAGTTCACACGAAACAGGGATCCATGTTCATGAAGAGAACACAACATAAAGATACAGTCAGTTCATGTGAAACAGGGATCCATGTTCATGAAGAGAACACAACACAAATGTACAGTCAGTTCATACAAAACAGGGGTCCATGTTCATGAAGAGAACACAACACAAATGTACAGTCAGTTCATGTGAAACAGGGATCCATGTTCATAAAGAGAACACAACACAAATGTACAGTCAGTTCATGTGAAACAGGGGTCCATGTTCATGAAGAGAACAAATGTACAGACAGTTCATGTGAAACAGGGGTCCATGTTCATGAAGAGAACACAACACAAATGTACAGACAGTTCATGTGAAACAGGGGTCCATGTTCATGAAGAGAACACAACACAAATGTACAGACAGTTCATGTGAAACAGGGGTCCATGTTCATGAAGAGAACACAACACAAATGTACAGACAGTTCATGTCAAAAACAGGGGTCCATGTTCATGAAGAGAACACAACACAAATGTACAGACAGTTCATGTGAAACAGGGGTCCATGTTCATGAAGAGAACACAACACAAATGTACAGACAGTTCATGTGAAACAGGGGTCCATGTTCATGAAGAGAACACAACACAAATGTACAGACAGTTCATGTCAAACAGGGGTCCATGTTCATGAAGAGAACACAACACAAATGTACAGACAGTTCATGTGAAACAGGGGTCCATGTTCATGAAGAGAACACAACACAAATGTACAGACAGTTCATGTCAAACAGGGGTCCATGTTCATGAAGAGAACACAACACAAATGTACAGACAGTTCATGTCAAACAGGGGTCCATGTTCATGAAGAGAACACAACACAAATGTACAGACAGTTCATGTGAAACAGGGGTCCATGTTCATGAAGAGAACACAACACAAATGTACAGACAGTTCATGTGAAACAGGGGTCCATGTTCATGAAGAGAACACAACACAAATGTACAGACAGTTCATGTCAAACAGGGGTCCATGTTCATGAAGAGAACACAACACAAATGTACAGACAGTTCATGTAAAACAGGGGTCCATGTTCATGAAGAGAACACAACACAAATGTACAGACAGTTCATGTCAAACAGGGGTCCATGTTCATGAAAAGAACGCAACACAAATGTACAGACAGTTTATGTGAAACAGGGGTCCATGTTCGTGAAGAGAACACAACACAAATGTACAGTCAGCTCATGTCAAACAGGGGTCCATGTTCATGAAGAGAACACAACACAAATGTACAGTCAGCTCATGTCAAACAGGGGTCCATGTTCATGAAGAGAACACAACACAAATGTACAGTCAGCTTACTGTCTGTCTGTATGGATGGAATGTGTTACAAGTGCATGGGTTGAATCTAAATGTAGTGAGAACAGGAAAAGGTCATACGTCTACAACAAACATGTTAGTACATACATCTTGTTGAGAACATCACAAACCAAGCCCCAGCTTTTGTTGCCTGTTTGTTTGTTCACTAGTTAGTTAGGCATGGCTTTCTCAATGATCTGTTGCTGATACCATTGTCAGAATCAACATTACCTGGCCAACTGGTGAATGGCCAGCATCTGACCTGGAACTCTGGCTAATGCACCTAATTATGTTGCTGATCAATATGTTCCACTTTAATCCAAGAAGACCCCCACGTAATTACTTATGTCTGTGTACATGCTAATACACACATATTTGACACATGCCTGTCTCTGTACAGTTATCTGTGTGATCAAGCAGACATAATGTAGCAGACAACATGCAGAAATAGTGTACATGTTGAAGTAGAAAGCAGTCTCTTGACTTAAACCTCTACCTGTGTACATGCAGAAATAGTGTACATGTTGAAGTAGTAACCAGTCTTTTGACTGCAACCTTTACCTGTGTACATGCAGAAATAGTGTACACATTGAAGTAGAAAGCAGTCTCTTGACTTAAACCTCTACCTGTGTACATGCAGAAATAGTGTACATGTTGAAGTAGTAACCAGTCTTTTGACTGCAACCTTTGCCTGTGTACATGCAGAAATAGTGTACACATTGAAGTAGAAAGCAGTCTCTTGACTTAAACCTCTACCTGTGTGCATGCAGAAATAGTGTAAATGTTGAAGTAGTAACCAGTCTTTTGACTGCAACCTTTACCTGTGTACATGCAGAAATAGTGTACACATTGAAGTAGAAAGCAGTCTCTTGACTAAAACCTCTACCTATGTATATCTACAAATACACTGGAGTCTTCACCAGGAGGAAGTCATGCCTGCTCACACTTACCTTCCTAGGTTGGCTATGTTCTTGTAGAGGAACAACGGCAGGGTGACCAACACAGTGATGGATGGACACTTACCTTTCCCAGCTTGGCTATGTCCTTGTAGAGGGACAACGGCAGGGTGACCAACACAGTGATGGACACTCACCTTTCCCAGCTTGGCTATGTCCTTGTAGAGGGACAACGGCAGGGTGACCAACACAGTGATGGACACTCACCTTTCCCAGCTTGGCTATGTCCTTGTAGAGGGACAACGGCAGGGTGACCAACACAGTGATGGATGGACACTCACCTTTCCCAGCTTGGCTATGTCCTTGTAGAGGGACAACGGCAGGGTGACCAACACAGTGATGGATGGACACTCACCTTTCCCAGCTTGGCTATGTTCTTGTAGAGGGACAACGGCAGGGTGACCAACACAGTGATGGATGGACACTCACCTTTCCTAGCTTGGCTATGTTCTTGTAGAGGGACAACGGCAGGGTGACCAACACAGTGATGGATGGACACTCACCTTTCCCAGCTTGGCTATGTTCTTGTAGAGGGACAACGGCAGGGTGACCAACACAGTGATGGATGGACACTCACCTTTCCCAGCTTGGCTATGTCCTTGTAGAGGGACAACGGCAGGGTGACCAACACAGTGATGGATGGACACTCACCTTTCCCAGCTTGGCTATGTCCTTGTAGAGGGACAATGGCAGGGTGACCAACACAGTGATGGTCACGATGATGAACTGTCGGTTGCCCAACACTGAGTGCAGCAGGGTTGGATCTGTTAGATGACACATGACAGATTTCAGACAGCAGATGTTAGATAACAGACTACTTGTGTAAGGAATGGGGGGGGGGGGGGCGGTTTGCAACTAACTTTGTTAGGGACAATGTCATGCAAATTGTGTTTCCGTGGAATGTCTACTGGAATGTCCTGTGACCTGAGTTAATATCTGGGGTGGTGTTGACTTAAGGCTGGATGTACCAGTGGATTCACGAAGTGTCAGCCCAGGCGGGCGGATTATCACACTTAGTGATGCGTGGATAGCAGCAATCGCACCAAAAAGTATGGGGTTCTCAATGAAGGGGAATCACGCATAACAGTAAGCGTCTCATGTGCACGGAAGAGCTCACAAGGGACAGGCATGTGTATATACTGGGGTTGAGAGAGAGAGCTCGAAAAGCTGAGAATGTTCGAGGCGGAAGCCTTCATGAGAGACTGGTCTAGAGGACAGTCAAGAGTGCATTTGAAGGAAGAGAAGTCCAGTTGGCAGAGTTGAGCAAGAGAGCCGAAATACTTCAAGAAGAAGATGTCTTGGGTGACGAGGCATGTGATCAATAGTGAAACAAGACAGCAGAAATGTTGGCGGAGCACAGAGTCCTGCCAGTCATCAGGGTTCCTTTGACCAGGCTGATGTGCTGTGTGCACATAATGGAGATCAAGTATTGTGAAGTTTTCCAGTCAAAAGATGTGAAAGTGTTTGCTATGTATACAGCAACAGAGGTCCCAGATGAGTAGGGGATGTAACCTGCTGACCCTTACAGCGAGCCCTAAAGTGAGGGGAACTGGGGAGCTAGGCACTGTAGCAGTCAGCTCAGTGTGTAGTGGCAGATAGTGAAGAGACAGGGTCTCTATACCAGTTTGAGTAAGTGAAGTGTGGGACATTCATCTCATGATAAGCCAGTGATGTGTATGATTACTTTGCTTGTAATATTCCATGTGTGGGTTTGTGAATACCCAATCGTACTTGAGACAATAAATGTGTGTATATATATATGGCGGCAATATGTCATTGAGTTTGTCCTGACAGTTTGTGCCCAAGTTGGGTTCACCAGTGGAGTGTCAATAATCTCCAGGACACCTGATTCAGGAACTTTAGCATGCAACAACTACACACACACAAAATGTCAGCCAGAAATGTAATCATGTTGTGTCCAGATATGGTCTGTTGTCTGCCATCCACAACAGCTGTTGCCCTGATCCTGTTGTTGTTGTGCATCAAATCTCCAGCCTACTTGGACGATGGTCAGAAACCTGGAGGGGCCATGAGCATACACAATCAAAGTCACCTGGCAGCTAAAACTGTATTAGTTTGTTGCCCTTGCTCAGTTTTAAACTTGGAATAAATCACGTGAAAGCAGACAATCAAAGTCAGCTGGCAGCTAAAACTGTATTAGTTTGTTGCCCTTGCTCAGTTTTAAACTTGCAATAAATCATGTGAAAGCAGACAATCAAAGTCAGCTGGCAGCTAAAACTGTATTAGTTTGTTGCCCTTGCTCAGTTTTAAACTTGGAATAAATCATGTGAAAGCAGACAACCAGTTATGTTACAGACATGTTGTGTGGGTTGTCCGGCAGGTTACAACATTACCTAGTAATGGCCCCTTGTTTACAGTTTTTGTCTGTTTCAGCACTACTGTAGTAGGCACTTTGTAGTATCTGCACCCTTTTACTGATATTTTTTTGCTAGAAGAAACAACTTGGCTCCCTACACAGGTGCACTGTATACTAGACCTACATAGTTTCTCATACAAGTCCTATTTACCTCTTCTCCATTTTAAATGCTCCGTCTAAACAACCTCTTTACAAATCATGCCTACACTCTCACCATTACAAACAGTGCTTTACACACACATGTACACACACACACACATGCAAGCACACACACACACACACACACACACATGCAAGCACACACACACACATGCAAGCACACACACACACTTGCTAGCACACACACACTTTGCATATGATATTGTCTGTCTTCACAACGCCTTCGATGATATGTCTGTAGATGTTCTCATGTTATACCAACACCCTGGCCCTTCTTGCTCTACACATGCTCAGTGTGTCCCAACTTGCAGACAGACAGAGACAGATACCAATAATGCAACAGACAGAACTTACTCTCTCCCCCCATCCAGCCGACCACTTTGGTGATTGTGTCTCCAATGATGACATTGTAGCTCACCATGGCTGGTGAGAGAATAAACAATATGTGAGTACTCAAGCTGGCTTATACAGCGGTCAGCTCTTACACTAAGCTGTGCTCCTTCCTGGTCAGCTGGACGTGAACACTTGAAGATGACTAATACAGCGGTCAGCTCTTACACTAAGCTGTGCTCCTTCCTGGTCAGACGGGCGTGAACACTTGAAGATGACTAATACAGCGGTCAGCTCTTACACTAAGCTGTGCTCGTTCCTGGTCAGCTGGGCGTGAACACTTGAAGATGACTAATACAGCGGTCAGCTCTTACACTAAGCTGTGCTCCTTCCTGGTCAGCTGGACATGAACACTTGAAGCTGACTAATACAGCGGTCAGCTCTTACACTAAGCTGTGCTCCTTCCTGGTCAGCTGGACGTGAACACTTGAAGATGACTAATACAGCGGTCAGCTCTTACACTAAGCTGTGCTCCTTCCTGGTCAGCTAGGCGTGAACACTTGAAGCTGACTAATACAGCGGTCAGCTCTTACACTAAGCTGTGCTCCTTCCTGGTCAGCTGGGCGTGAACACTTGAAGATGACTAATACAGCGGTCAGCTCTTACACTAAGCTGTGCTCCTTCCTGGTCAGACGGGCGTGAACACTTGAAGATGACTAATACAGCGGTCAGCTCCTACACTAAGCTGTGCTCCTTCCTGGTCAGCTGGGCGTGAACACTTGAAGCTGACTAATACAGCGGTCAGCTCCTTCCTGGCCAGCTGGGCATGAACACTTGAAGCTGACTAATACAGTGGTCAGCTCTTACACTAAGCTGTGCTCCTTCCTGGCCAGCTGGGTGTGAACACTTGAAGCTGACTAATACAGCGGTCAGCTCTTACGCTAAGCTGTGCTCCTCCTTTATGACTAGCGTAGACGACCATGCCTCTGACCTCTGGTACCACTTGTCAGCAAAGTGAGTTCAGCACACAACAATGACCAGGGGTTGAACATGAGTCTGAGAGCCAGACATTATCACAGCTAACCAGCCAAGTTCTGAAACAAGACTAAGGTTCAGATGTGGAAGAACTACCAGAACTTTCTGCCAGAGTTTACAGCCGGTGAATACGATAAGGACAAATAAGAAACAAAAGCTACATAAGTGGTCTCCTAAGTTTGTGGAAGAAATATACCAAGAAACCAAATAAATAAGGGGTTTCAAAAAAGAAGGAAAGATATATAAACAAGTGAAATAAATTAATTTTCTTCTTCTTCCTCTTCTTCTTCAGCATTCCGAGTCCTTGAGGTTCACTGCTACAGATATCACCCACCCCCATTCATCTCTCTGGCTGGCCTTCTCTTTCTAGTTGGTGAAACCAAGTGTTTGTAGATCTATCTGGATATTATCTCTCCAAAATCTTCTTGGTCTGCCTCGTGGTCTACGACCATTCATCTCTCTTGTGTATAGTTTTTACTTCTCTGTCATCTGACATTCTCTCAATATACCCCAACCATTTCAGTCTATTAGCTCTCATGATGCCAGTGATCTTTGAGTCCCAGGGAACACATCACGCGCTAATTTGTTTCAATCACGCAGCCCAATCGACACATGACAAGTAAAGGTTTTTTAATCTACCAATGACAGGTTTTAAAACGCAGACTGCTCAATTTCAACTTCCTTTCAAATTCTTTGTGTCTGATATGAGGTGCTGTTTCAAAAGGAAAAATATAGTATATTTGCAAGATTTGCTGAGTTAATAAGTGTTTGAAAAGAATATGGCCACCGAGCAATATTTTACATGCATGCTAAAATGATTTATGGCTTCAGAAGCCTCAATTTTAAATAAAGTGTTAATTGGATTTATCCAAAGTTAGAAGTTAACGGTGCGAATTAGACGTGTTTCAGTCAATTATAGAGTCAAACTTTAATGAGGGATATGTCTAATGTGTAACTCACGCGAAGGGTACAATGATAGCAAAGTCAGCTGTCACAAATAGAATAAACATTAGTAAAAAAAAACGATTTTCTTCAGTGTCAGTTAGCTCTAGTGCTATTCCCCTTATTATTTAGGAACATAGCTACAAAATTACAGCAAATTGAGTGTTACATAAACTTCATTTTGTGTGAAGATACTTATTATTTTGGGAGTCAGTTTCTTTACCAAATAATGGTGCTCTGTTTTGATGCTTCAAAAGATCCTTTGGAACAAAATCTAATGTATACATTGAGTTTATATTTACTTATACATGACTAAGTGGTTCACATTCATTTGTGATTCAGTTTTCCTTGAGTGCCATAGTGGTGTGTGAAAATTATTTTATTTTATTTTACTAATTTTTGTAAACATACTGTCTATTTACTAATATTTAAATACTAACACAATTATTTGTTGTAACTATATTCTATAATTATTCCTCAATCCCTGGTCACTTTGATGTATAATACGTGTATGTTGTGTGCCAAGTGAATTAGTATGGTCTGTTTTAATGTGTTACACTTGTGAAATTTAACAATTGCATTACCACTCCTGGGCGCTGATGCTAAACCCCCTGGGACTCAAAGAGTTAAAGATTGTGAATTTTGTTGTTCTCACTCTCCATTCCCTATTGTTTGTATCCCTAATGGGTCCAAAGATCCATCATGACACTTCATATTCACAAATTTGTAATAAGGTTTCATCTCTTTTAGTTGTGCCCCAAGTTTCAGAGCCATATGAAACGATTGGTCTTATCAGCGTTTTATTTATTTTGATTTGGGTTTTGCAAATTAGAAAATTTGACTTTAGCAAAGTTGAAGAGCATAGTATACTTTATTTCCAAATTGTATTCTATACTGTACATGTTGGGCCAGCATGCTGGAGCATATGAAGTTTGCACCCAAGCACTTAGATTTGTCCATCATTTGATTTCATATTACTGATTTGTATGTGGCCGGAGTGTATATCCTTTCCCTGTCTAGTTATTATCATGTATTCTGTCTTATCTTGATTGATAACTAGTCCCATTTTGTGAGCTGCCGTCTTTGAGAGAGTCAGTGTTTTTTACTGTCTCCAGTTCATTTTCTCAAACAGTATCAATGCCAACTGTATAAATAAGCAATCTTGTAGTTTCTGCTATATTACATTCTTCTTTCCATTTCCTTATTATTTTCTCTACAGACTAGTTTAAAAAAAAAAAAAGTTGGGACAGATCATCACCTTGCTTCAAACCAGATGTTATTTGAAAAGGGTCTGACTTTCTGCCTTTTTTATGTTACTATAAGTGGCTTCCATAAATAGTTTGGTAATAGTGATTAACTTCTTTAGTATTCCAAAGCCCTTAATAGCATTTCATAAACTGTTTCTATGTACACTTTCATATGCCTCTTTTTACATCCACAAAAACATTATGTATAGAACTTCTATGTTAATTCAGTTGAGAAATTTAAAAAAAGAAATAAAGTTAAACACAGCTGTGTTAAATATCAATCTCTCCAGAATGTAGAATACCAGTTCACAACTTTGGCATTCTTGAGTGGACCAGGTGTCTGAGGTATGATACTCACCAATAAATGGGTACAGGAACTGTAACACTGTCAGCAGGTAAAATCCTGGCCGCCCAAAAGCCACCAACACCATGTCCTGAAACAGTCAACAACAAAATCAGTGGCCAGCACTGGCAGATATCAGACAACCCTGTCTGTGTGGTCAGAATCAAACAACCAACAGTGACTAGCACACTGCCTGTCTACACTGGTGGCTGAGATGATAGGGCCAGCACTGGCAGATATCAGACAACCCTGTCTGTGTGGTCAGAATCAAACAACCAACAGTGACTAGCACACTGCCTGTCTACACTGGTGGCTGAGATGATAGGGTCAGCACTGGCAGATATCAGACAACCCTGTCTGTGTGGTCAGAATCAAACAAGCAACAGTGACTAGCACACTGCCTGTCTACACTGGTGGCTGAGATGATAGGGCCAGCACTGGCAGATATCAGACAACCCTGTCTGTGTGGTCAGAATCAAACAACCAACAGTGACTAGCACACTGCCTGTCTACACTGGTGGCTGAGATGATAGGGTCAGCACTGGCAGATATCAGACAACCCTGTCTGTGTGGTCAGAATCAAACAAGCAACAGTGACTAGCACACTGCCTGTCTACACTGGTGGCTGAGATGATAGGGTCAGCACAACTCTGAGGTTACAGATAACTAAACAAAGATAGCAATCTCTGTGGACAAGTCCATTGTTTGACACAGCACTGACCTCCTTTCATCTGGTCTCAGCAAAACATGTCCGCCATTATGTCAGTGAGCTTGGTCATACTTCGAGATTGCCACCAGCTGTCAAATGCTGGCTCCTCACTGTCACAGCCACAGACATGCACCACTTTTGCTATTTTGTTACTTTAGGAAAGCTTATACTGGTAAATCTCACAATTTTTTTTTTTTTCTGCCATCATCTGGAAAAGCTGTAAAATGGCACACTTTGGTGACACCGACAGGAAGTTGATATTGTCTATTTACATCTTCAGAGGAGGGCCCAAGATGACAATCATAAATTTTGAACATTTTGGGTTTCCATACATAATTCACAATTTTTTTTATAGTAGAAAGCAACTGTGAAAACAGCATTTTGAAAAGACTGTGCATTAAAGCTCTGTTTCTGTATTCTTAGAAACATTTGTAACTTATTTATCTAAGTTTTCATGCTCATTACATATGCATAAAACCTGACCCAAAAATGTATCTTGAGGTGTAGTTGAGACTTAATTTAAATTGAAAATTGTTCCAATATATGGGCCTGCATAGCCAATTTCACAGGACACAAAATAAAAGAACAAATATTATTGGTCCATTTATTAAGGATATGCTTTATTCAGCCAATCAGTGCACTCATCTCATACAAAACTTTCAAAGCTGTTTTCTCAAAAGAACTTCATTGCACATGTGCCTTACATTTGTCAGGAATCAGAGGTGGAACTTGCAATTTATGGACCCACATCTGTGGTCACTATTTAACATTTTTTGAAACTTAAAGACAATTTTAGACATCAATATAGGAAAATCTAATTTAGACTCTGTGATTTACTGTTTGCATGGTAGACAAGAAAGATCCTGTCAAAATGTCATAAAGATCTGACCATATTTAGATATCTTTAACCATCAGCAAAAACTTGCATAATTTAAGATTGTCAAAGCGAAAGCCAATGGAAAATCTTTAGTGCAAGACAGTCTAGCATACGATATCACAACATCTAGCAAGAGAATGGAGGTGGAGGCGGTAACTGCAGCTCTCCGGTGGCTAGAGAACAAGATGCGTACACATGTCGTAATTGTAACAGACTCTGAACGCATGCTGAAAAAGGTGAAGACAGGGATGTTTCGAGCAGAGTGGCAAGCTTCGCTGGGAAGGTCATGGGTAGTGAGCATACTTTGGATCTTTTCTCCAGGCCATGCCATCATGGTGAGTAATGAACAGGCAGACAGATTGGCTGGATCTGCACCATTGGGTGGTGAAATGATACATGACAACGCAGATGTGGTCAAGGCCCTTTGGGAACAAGCAACAGGATCAGTAGAGAACCAAGATTATTATTGTCTGGAGAGAATGAGGCACCTGGGTGTAACCAGAGGGTCTGGCCGGCTCACTATACTTAAAGGAAAGGCAAGACGAACATATAGCCAGATTGTCCCCGGTACCATCAGTATTGGAACTCTGCACTGGCTCCTGAAGATGAGGACAGAGCACACATGGAAATGCCCCTAGTGCTGTGATGTCAAGTCTTGACTCAACTCAACTCAACTCTAAAGACTGTCTGACTACTAATTCCTGCCAAGTATACACACACAGACAGTCTTCAAAAGTGGCACCTGGCCTTGGCATGACAGCAGTTCCCTGCATTCATCAAAATCAATGGCTACATGCTCATACACATGCCTGTTTGCCTCAGCAATCACCTACAGCTCCAGCATAACAGCCAAACAGGCAAGAAAGCACTCTGTGGAAAATGTACCCCTGTACAATGTCAGCAAGTTACCAACAAACTTCATGGACTAGCAGACCCTTCTGCACTGTCTGCTCTCACTGTCAGCATTCACAGTTCTTATGAGGGACTCAAGGCATGACCTTGAGTGCTGGAGGTCCCAGATTAGGGCCCCTGTGAAGGCTGAGAGTTTTTCAAGTGAATTTCTAGTAATTTCCCCTGGTCTCTGGGTAGTAAGATAGGATGCCAGTGTGTATTGTTACGCACGTACAAAATCCCAAGGCAGCTGGAAATCAAAAAGAGAAACCTGACAGCACTGCCCGGGCAAGATTTGGAGTTAAAAAATCTACTTAAGTATTTCAGGATCCTGGTCGGTGCTACGGAGTTCGTGCACTGCACTGAGATTCCTTCAGACTCAGGCTTGAGTTTGAAGTAGAACAGAGCACTTAAGGGTTACTTACTACCCTTGTGCCCTGATAATGATCTGTTGTTTAAACCTAAGCCTAAATGTATAGTAGTGTGTGTGTGCATGCATTTTACCACCCATGCTTTTGAGCTTTTTTCTCTTTTTTTCTCTTTTTTGATATTCATAATATACATATTATCATATGAATTTAACATGCTTATTGATAAAATACAGCTGCAGTGTGAAAGACGGATGTTTGGAAGGGCCAAATGTAAGACTGGCCTGCGTGCCCAATTTGTGACCCTTTGAAAATAAAGTTAGTTGGTTCATTAGTTGGTTTATTTGTTCAATTCAACTGGACTGCCCATGGACTCAAACAGAAACCAATAACACACATCCAAGTTCTCCAAGAAGCTACACACATTCTTGCACATCCCTCATATTTCACAACCGAGAACAACCGAATCAAACTGCCACTCGGTTTTACCCCAGCGGTCAGCTCCACATACAGCGGTCAGCTCCACATACATCTCACATTTCCCATGCAATCTTTTGTGGTGCGCATTAGTTCTTTAAGATTCACTGAGCGGAAGTTGCCCCCACAGACTTCTTGTGACCCCAGCATTCACTGTCACCTCAGTCATCCAGATCAGGAATATTAATGTTCACTCCGCTTGACCTCTGGCATACTTGTGACTCATATGAGATAGCAAAACAACAAACAACTCGTAGACTGACACTGTGGGTAAGCTACAGTACCTGGTAGGTGTCTGTGTTGGAGAGGTGACCGCCTTCCACAAGTAGCAGGATAGAATAATCTGGTCAAAGGGAAACAAATAAAACACATCTGACACTTTGAGCAATCAATGACAACTACAGGAAGTCACATCAGCAACAATGAGCACTGGCCAGTCTGAAGGTCTTCATGTCCAGATGTCAGTGTCCCTCAACAAAGTTCCAGTCTGAAGATCTTCATGTCCAGATGTCAGTGTCCCTCAACAAAGTTCCAGTCTGAAGGTCTTCATGTCCAGATGTCAGTGTCCCTCAACAAAGTTCCAGTCTGAAGGTCTTTATGTCCAGATGTCAGTGTCCCTCAACAAAGTTCCAGTCTGAAGGTCTTCATGTCCAGATGTCAGTGTCCCTCAACAAAGTTCCAGTCTGAAGGTCTTCATGTCCAGATGTCAGTGTCCCTGACCAAAGTTCCAGTCTGAAGGTCTTCATGTCCAGATGTCAGTGTCCCTCAACAAAGTTCCAGTCTGAAGGTCTTCATGTCCAGATGTCAGTGTCACTGACCAAAGTTCCAGTCTGAAGGTCTTCATGTCCAGATGTCAGTGTCCCTCAACAAAGTTCCAGTCTGAAGGTCTTTATGTCCAGATGTCAGTGTCACTGACCAAAGCTGTCTACATGCAGACAAATATTAGTGTTGACAGCAGTTGTTGTAGCAGACAAATATTAGTGTTGACAGCAGTTGTAGTAGCAGACAAATATTAGTGTTGACAGCAGTTGTTGTAGCAGACAAATATTAGTGTTGACAGCAGTTGTTGTAGCAGACAAATATTAGTGTTGACAGCAGTTGTTGTAGCAGACAAATATTAGTGTTGACAGCAGTTGTTGTAGCAATCAAATATTAGTGTTGACAGCAGTTGTTGTAGCAGACAAATATTAGTGTTGACAGCAGTTGTTGTAGCAGACAAATATTAGTGTTGACAGCAGTTGTTGTAGCAGACAAATATTAGTGTTGACAGCAGTTGTAGTAGCAGACAAATATTAGTGTTCACAGCAGTTGTAGTAGCAGACAAAGAAGAACAGGCCAACACAATTAAATATACACACATGTTATCATTAGATTCAAGGGATATCTTCATAATACACCATTATGTTTCAGCATCCACCACACCAACACACAGATACAAGCCTACATAGATGATCACACACATACACTACAGTAGGCAGTCTCCATCACACAGATACAAGCCTGCTTGGCCTAAATGTAGCGTGCATGTCCTAAATCTAGCCTGCATATCTTAAATGTAGCCCACATGTCCTAAATGTAGCCTGCATGTCCTGAATGTAGCCTGCATGTCCTGAATGTAGCCTGCATTTCTTGAATGTAGTCTGTATGTCCTGAATGTAGTTTCCATGTACTAAATGTAGCCAGCATGTCCCAAATGTCAGCTTATGTCCTAAATGTAGCCTGCATGTCCTAAATGTCACCTTATGTCCTAAATGTAGCCTGCATGTCCTGAATGTAGCCTGCATGTTCTAAATGTCACCTTATGTCCTAAATGTAGCCTGCATGTCCTTAGTCTAGCCTGCATGTCCAAAATGTCACCTTAGGTCCTAAATGTAGCCTGCATGTCCTGAATGTAGCCTGTATGTCCTGATGTAGCCTGCATGTCCTAAATGTCACCTTATGTCCTAAATGTAGCCTGCGTGTCCTAAATGTAGCCTGCATGTCCTAAATCTAGCTTGCATGTCCTAGATGTAGCCTGCATGTCCTAAATGTAGCCTGCAGGTCCTGAATATAGCCTGCAGGTCCAGAATATAGCCTGCAGGTCCTGAATATAGCCTGCATGTCCTAAGTGTAGCATGCATGACCTAAATGTAGCCTGTAGTCCTGATGATGCCTGCATGTTCTAAATGTAGCCTGCATGTCCTGAATATAACCTCATGTACTCAATGTAGTCTGTATGTCCTAAATGTAGCCTTATGTTCTGAATATAGTCTGTATGTCATGAATATAGCCTGCATGCCCGTCCTAAATCTAGCCTGTATGTCCTGAATGTAGCCTGCATGTCCTGAATGTAGCCTGCATGTCCTGAATGTAGCCTGCTTGTCTTAAATGTAGATTGCATGTCCTAAATGTAGCCTGCATGTTCTAAATGTAGCCTGCATGTTCTAAATGTAGCCTGCATGTCCTAAATGTAGCTTGTATGTCCTAAATGTAGCCTGCATGTTCTAAATGTAGCCTGCATGTCCTAAATGTAGATTGCATGTCCTAAATGTAGCCTGCATGTCCTAAATCTAGCCTGCATGTCCTAAATGTAGCCTGTATGTCCTAAATGTAGCCTGCATGTCCTAAATGTAGCCTGCATGTCCTAAATGTAGCCTGCATGTTCTAAATGTAGCCTGCATGTCCTAAATGTAGCTTGCATGTCCTAAATGTAGCCTGCATGTCCTAAATGTAGCCTGCATGTCCTAAATGTAGCCTGCATGTCCTAAATGTAGCCTGCATGTCCTAAATGTAGCCTGCATGTCCTAAATCTAGCCTGCATGTCCTTAATGTAGCCTGCATGTCCTAAATGTAGCCTGCATGTCCTAAATGTAGCCTGCATGTCCTAAATGTAGCCTGCATGTCCTAAATGTAGCCTGCATGTCCTTAATGTAGCCTGCATGTCCTAAATCTGGCCTGCATGTCCTGATTGTAGCCTGCATGTTCTAAATGTCCTAAATGTAGCCTGCTTGTCCTGAATGTAACATTATGTTCTGAATGTAGCCTTATGTTCTGAATATAGTCTGTATGTCATGAATGAAGCCCGCATGTCCTGAATGTAGCCTGCATGTCCTGAATGAAGTCAATATGGCCTGAGTGTAGTCTGTATGTCCTGAATGTAGTCTTATTGTCATAAATGTAGCTTGCATGTTCTAAATCTAGTCTGCATGTCGTAAATGTAGCCTGCTTATCCTGAATGTAACATTATGTCCTGAATGTAGCCTGCACATCCTGAATGTAGCCTGGATGACCTGAATGTAGCCTTGTGTTCTGAATCGTTGCCAGAACGTTGACCCAAATATTGGAGTCAGGTGGCCTATTCCATGCTACACTAGGTGGGTACCGACCAGGAAGACATACATGGTGCAATGCTGCAGTATTTGCCTACGACACATATGAGGGTTTTCAGGAGGGAATGGAAATAGCTGCAGCCGCTATTGACTAAGAAGATGTGTACAACAGCGTCCTATACAACATGCTCATCAGACTGCTGTTGGATATGCAGATAGAAACAAAATTGGTCAACTGGATCGCAGCAGCGCTATTTGAAAGAACAGTGTCGCTTCGATGTGGTGAATGGGCATCCGAACCTCAACGCATCCTAATGGGTCTGCCCCAGGGATCACCATTGTCGCCTGTGCTCTTCAGTGTGTACACAGCAGGAGTCACGAGTACACAAAGCGTAGGCCTTGGCAGAACAATGTCGTATGCAGATGATATCCTTGTTGACTGTCGAGGTAAAAACAGGCAGGAAATTACAACCACGCTACAACACGACATCACGTCCAAAGCCTCCTTAACATGGTTCTCTCTCTGAATATCCACATCGTTAGTACACCAACACCAGTCGTAAGCATCTGTTGTGTGGACATCGAGAGAACGGACACCATGAAATACCTGGGCATGACATTTGACACATGCTTGTCATACAAATGCCACGTAAACAACGTCATACTTAGAGCCAGGAAAGGTTTGACAGCACTCAAGGTGCTAGCAGCAGCTGATATTGAACAATGCCTACTTTTCCTTCTCTATCAAGGGCTTGTGCTTAGCGTCATTGACTATGGTCTTGCCCTCTTCACTGTCAGCAAAACCCAGCTAGAAAGACTAGACCGAGTACAAAATGAGGCCATGAAACTCATACTCGGCTGCACAAAAGACACCTCCTGCAACGCCATGCGTTATGTCCTGGGTTTGCCGACAATGACTAGCAGATACAAAGTGGCACAGGCCAAGGCTTACATGAGGGTATCGGCAGACGTTAACCACCCATTACACGACACAAAAGAAACGCGTCTCAAAAGAGGCCGCTCTTGGATGGCAAAGGCTGAGGATTTAATCCAGCAGGTATGTGACCTAGACGTGATCAGTCACGGAAAAGAATGGACGAATACACCAGTAGACATGCATGGCATCTCTAAGATTGTCATCACACTCGAAAGGTACTGCAGGGATAAAATTTATGCAGCCATAGACACAGAAGTAAGGGAGCTGATACATCAGCATTCAGACCCAGAAGATATCATCATCTACACAGATGGATCCGTGAAGCGCGGATCAAGGTCAGCATGGGCATACACAGAGCAAAGAAAGGGGAAAACAATACATGAGGACAGCGGCGCTTACCAGACAACCACGTCAAGCATGACCATGGAAATAGCCGCTGCTTCTAGAGCTTTAGCGTGGGTATCCGAGCAAACCGCCACACAGGTAGTAATTGTCTCAGACTCAATGAATATGCTTCAGAAGATAGCAACAGGCAGTATGCGCTCTGAATGGATAGAAAGCATTCGGAAATCGCACTTAACCTCCGTAATCTGGATCTACACACCGGGTAATGCGGGCGTAAAGGGAAATGAGCGAGCGGACCAACTGGCAAGCACTGCACTGATGATTGCGGGAAAAAGCATGGACAGAGCAGATATCGTCAACGCTGTACGGGCTGGGCTAGTGGATAATCAGGAATCCCTGACACTGGCACGATTGCGTGACATAGGAGTTAAGCATGGTGATGCACGTCTTTGCCGTCTTCGGGGCCGAGAAAGGAGACGATATAACCAGCTTCTCATGGGGACAATTAGTAGAAGTACTGTGGAGTGGCTGATGCTTCAGAGAACTGAGCACGCATGGGTATGCCCAATGTGCAGTGACATCAAGTGTGATAACAAAACATAAAATAACATCTTGTAGGGAGTAGGCAGTCCGAAACCCAAGTTCAAGGTGTCTCCTTCGTGCCAAAGAACTGCATGGCTGTCGGGTAAACAGTCGTTAACGAAGGCAAGCTGGTCGTTGTAGGGGCAACGCCTGCTGGTGGATGTAATGTCCTAAGTCCCTTCCCCGGCTAATAATGAGGGTACTGCTGGGGTGACCGTTTATTAACCCTCATATAATGCTTCAGGTCAAATGGACGCTAGGCACGGCCACCTTTTTTCCCCTTCCAGACAGTGGCCGTTGAATTTTTGCTCCATTTGTAGACTGGAAGGATATAGTTTCGTCGCCCAGCTTCTGAGTTGAGTGCATGACGCGACACTGTGAGCTACATGTGTTTTTTTGGCACAGGAGAGGAGCAACTATGGGGTGACCCATTTACTATGAAGCTGAAACTAGGATTACCAGATTACCAGATTACTTGTGTTCTCAATGTAGTCTGTATGTTATGAATGTAGCCTGTATGTCCTAAATGTAGTCTGTATGTCCTGAATTGGTAATAAAAATACTGGTCTCAGTTTCATCAACTACATACATTCTTACACATTTTGTAAACATAATCAATGGCTGTTTTCATTTAGAGGCCATGACAATGTGAATTCAGTTTTCTGTGTTATATACTAGGTTTGCCTCTAGGGGTGATGTATTTGAGGCAGATGTGAAACTATGCCAATGAATAATCAAGTTATTGTGAGCCTTGTGAGTTAGAGGATGCAAATACAACTCAGTGATGTACCTATAGACTTTTAGTGTTTGACAGAAGGTCACCTGTCAAAATAATTATTGAATCTAAGATACACAGACAAGCTCAAAATGTTGCTTTTTGAGTCATCAGGTGTCAGTCTATCAGGTGTGGGGGGAAAGAGGTGGCCACATCCTCACAGACTGGCTACCAGATCATTGGGCATGACCAATAGTACTAGCCTCATCAGTCAGCCAGTGCCGTTTGGTGTTTAGCTTTTTATGCTGAACTGGCAAGTTGAACTAGTGAGATTGTTTTAACCTAGCTTGTGAGCTTACGGTGGGTTTCATCGTGCCTGCAAGAAAACATCAGTGAACATCGCTCCAGTTAGCTTTCAGTCACACAAACTATGTGCCCCGCTTTACCAGCCAGTTTGTCTGCAGCTTTCTGAGCTTGCATAACTTACTGTGGAATACAGATGTCATAGAACACACACACACATGACATGAAGGAGGAAAAAAAAGGGGAGGGGTGACATCACAAAGTACATACAGATGGAAAACTGTCTCACAAAACTGGTATACAAGCCATAGCAGAATGTTGAGTTGAGTTAAGAATTCACATAACAGAATTGGTGACATACCCATAAGTGCCCCAACCCCACCCTCAGCAGCCACCAAAGAATTCCAATTCTGATGGTATCAGAAGCACAAAAAAATGCTTACATAAAGTCCTGCAAACCTGAAGCTAAGGGGAAAGGTGCTTGCAGCATCAGGCTGAAAAAAAGAGGGGGGGGGGGGATAGGGCTGATACAACAGGTGTGACATGGAACAAAACTGCAAACCTGAAGCTAACAGGAAAGGTGATTGCAGCATCAGGCTGGGGGGGGGGGGGGGGGGAATAGGGCTGATACAACAGGTGTGACATGGAACAACACTGCAAACCTGAAGCTAACAGGAAAGGTGCTTGCAGCATCAGGCTGGGGGGGGGGGGGGGAGATAGGGCTTATACAAAGGTGTGACATGGAACAACACAAGTCACAGCTTACCTGTGACGAAGGCTACCAGGACAATGAGGATCAGACCCATCCCAAAGCCAGCTTGTCTCAGAGCAAAGGGCATGCCTGCAACAAAGTCACAGGCAACTCATTTATTAGGTCGCCTAGTGTGTGATGTCTATCACAAATCAAAACAATATAATAAACTAATGGTGTCACTTCACACAACACCTAGACAAGTAGTGTCACTTCACACAACACCTAGACAAGTAGTGTCACTTCACACAACACCTAGACAAGTAGTGTCACTTCACACAACACCTAGACAAGTAGTGTCACTTCACACAACACCTAGACAAGTAGTGTCACTTCACACAACACCTAGACAAGTAGTGTCACTTCACACAACACCTAGACAAGTAGTGTCACTTCACACAACACCTAGACAAGTAGTGTCACTTCACACAACACCTAGACAAGTAGTGTCACTTCACACAACACCTAGACAAGTAGTGTCACTCTACATAACAGTTAGACTTGTGGTGTCACTTTACACAACATTTAGACTAGCGGTGTCACTTTTACACAACATTTAGACTGGTAGTATCGTTTTACACAACATTTAGACTAGCGGTGTCACTTTTACACAACATTTAGACTGGTAGTATCTTTTTACACAACATTTACACTTCATTTGTCACTTTACACAACATAAGACAGGTAGTGTCACTTTACACAACATAAGACAGGTAGTGTCACTTTACACAACATTTAGGCTGCTTTTGTCACTTTACACAACATTTAGGCTGGTTTTGTCACTTTACACAATATTTAGGCTGCTTTTGTCACTTTACACAACATTTAGGCTGCTTTTGTCACTTTACACAACATTTAGGCTGCTTTTGTCACTTTACACAACATTTAGGCTGCTTTTGTCACTTTACACAACATTTAGGCTGCTTTTGTCACTTTACACAACATTTAGGCTGGTTGCATCACTTTACACAATATTTAGGCTGGTTGCATCACTTTACACAATATTTAGGCTGGTTGCATCACTTTACACAATATTTAGGCTGGTTGCATCACTTTACACAATATTTAGGCTGGTTGCATCACTTTACACAACATTTAGGCTGGTTGCATCACTTTACACAACATTTAGGCTGGTTGCATCACTTTACACAACATTTAGGCTGGTTGCATCACTTTACACAACATTTAGGCTGGTTGCATCACTTTACACAACATTTAGGCTGGTTGCATCACTTTACACAACATTTAGGCTGGTTGCATCACTTTACACAACATTTAGACTGCTTTTGTCACTTTACACAACATTTAGGCTAGTTGCATCACTTTACACAATATTTAGGCTAGTTGCATCACTTTACACAACATTTAGGCTGGTTGTGTCTTTTTACACAACATTTAGACTGGTTGCATCACTTTACACAACATTTAGGCTGGTTACATCACTTTACACAACATTTAGGCTGGTTGTGTCTTTTTACACAACATTTAGATTGCTTTTGTCACTTTACACAACATTTAGGCTGGTTGCATCACTTTACACAACATTTAGACTGGTTGCATCACTTTACACAACATTTAGGCTAGTTGCATCACTTTACACAACATTTAGGCTGGTTGTGTCTTTTTACACAACATTTAGACTGGTTGCATCACTTTACACAACATTTAGGCTGGTTGCATCACTTTACACAACATTTAGGCTGGTTGTGTCTTTTTACACAACATTTAGACTGCTTTTGTCACTTTACACAACGTTTAGACTGCTTTTGTCACTTTACACAACATTTAGGCTGGTTGCATCACTTTACACAACATTTAGGCTGGTTGCATCACTTTACACAACATTTAGGCTGGTTGCAACACTTTACACAACATTTAGGCTGGTTGCATCACTTTACAGAACATTTAGGCTGGTTGCATCACTTTACACAACATTTAGACTGGTTGCATCACTTTACACAACATTTAGGCTAGTTGCATCACTTTACACAACATTTAGGCTGGTTGCATCACTTTACACAACATTTAGACTGGTTGCATCACTTTACACAACATTTAGGCTGGTTGTGTCTTTTTACACAACATTTAGGCTGGTTGTGTCTTTTTACACAACATTTAGGCTGGTTGTGTCTTTTTACACAACATTTAGACTGCTTTTGTCACTTTACACATCATTTAGACAGGCAGTGTACTTTACACAACAAAAGACAGGTAGTGTCACTTTACACAACATTTAGGCTGGTTGCATCACTTTACACAACATTTAGGCTGGTTGCATCACTTTACACAACATTTAGGCTGGTTGCATCACTTTACACAACATTTAGGCTGGTTGCATCACTTTACACAACATTTAGGCTGGTTGCATCACTTTACACAACATTTAGGCTGGTTGTATCACTTTACACAACATTTAGGCTGGTTGCATCACTTTACACACAATTTTACAGTAGATGTGTCTGCATCCTCAGATATGCATGTAAAATTGCCACACATCTAATAACTCACTCACACACACACACACACACACACACACACACAATGAATCTCTCTGTCTCTCTCTCTCTATCTCTCTCTCTATCTCTCTCTCTCTCTCTCTCTCTCTCACACACACACACACATCTAATGGCACACGGAGAGAGAAAGCCAGGCAGAGGCAGACCTACCAATGATGCCAGAACCAATGATTGAGTTAATAAAGTTGAATGAGGTCATGGGGATGGAGCTCCGAGGCTTGCCATCATCCTTCTCCTCCACCAGTCCACGGGTGTCACTGACACTGGACTCCAGAGGACAACAAACATCACAACAACTAGATACTCCAGAGGATAACAAACATTACAGCAACTAGATACTCCAGAAGACAACACACATCACAGCAACCAGATACTCCAGAGAATAACAAACATCATAACAACTAGATACTCCAGAGGGCAACAAACATCACAGCAACCAGATACTCCAAATGACAATAAACATCATAGTAACTAGATACTCCAGAAGACAACAGACATAACAACAACTAGATCCTCCAAGGGACAGCACATATCACAACAATTAATCACAACAGTTAGATACTCCAGAGGACAACAAACATCACAGCAACCAGATACTCCAGAGGAAAACAAACATCACAACAACTAGATACTCCAGAAGACAACAGACATAAAAATAACTAGATACTCCAAGAGACAGCAAATATCACAACAATTAAATACTCCAGAAGACAACACAAACATCGCAACAAACAGATACTCTAAAAAAAAAAAAGAACAAAAATCACAACTAGATACTCCAGAGGACAACAAACATCACTACAACTAGATACTCCAGAGGACACAAACATCAAAACGATTAGATACTCCAGCGGACAACAAACATCACAACAACTAGATACTCCAGAGGACAACAAACATCACAACAACTAGATACTCCAGAGGATAACAAACATCACAACAAATAGATACTCCAGAGGACAGAAAACATCACATCACGAAACCTGACCCTCCCCCCCCCCCCCCCAATCCCTTTTCCGTGTTTAGGGGAACCTTAGGCATCCCTCCCAAATTTTCTAAATAAACTGAGACCTCATTACCATCTCCCCTATTTCCTGGTGGCGGCGCGCCTACATGAACCGACCGTGTACTCCAGGCTGCGATATGCAGGCGGTGTGTGGCCCACATTGACCGGACCTGTACTCACACGTGCCACTAATCTTCTGACACTGGGCTGCAACAGGCTCAGATCCATAAATCTAATTATAGAGCCGTGATCTCTAGACCCGGCCCCGCCGTTGCTGGCCTTTGATTTCCTGTCAACTTGAGCTTCCGATTATCTTTCTGCCACGATCTCAATAAGCCGCCCCCTTCCCCAATCCCTCAAACCCCAGCCCCTTCCCCCTTCCCAAGACTGCTTCCTCACACAGCCCGACCCGCCGGGCTATGACGGGAGAAGAGAGGAGTACAGAAAACACACGAGGCAACAATGCGCAGACTAAGGGAGGATAACATCCTGGAACTAGGGCTCAGCCAGCACCCACACAGTTCAGTCATTACCCAGGGAGGCTCGGCTGAAACTGTCATGACGTCACTTCCTATGAGACGGTATGTGCATGTGTGCAGGTGCGCGTGTGCTGGGGAAGTTAGTTACTATAAACATATTTGCTGCTTGGAGCTAGGACAAAATCCAAATCGCGGACTGTAACAACTAATGCACCAGCAATACAAAGAAATCTAACCTCAAGCTTCGACTTGGCTCTCAGAACTGAAAGTAGTATGGAGCGCTAATTATCAGTATTATATGTGGAGGTGGCGGTGGCAGGAATGCGGCGTGTGGATTGAATGTGACGTGTGAATTGAATGTGACGTGTGAATTGAATGTGGTGTGTCGATTGAATGTGGTGTGTCGATTGAATGTGACGTGTGGATTGAATGTGGTGTGTCGATTGAATGTGACGTGTGAATTGAATGTGGCGTGTGGATTGCACCTTGTGCATGGCCTATGAATGTGGATGCAGGCGGGAATGTGGATGTTGATGGTGTATGGGAATGCGGCTGGGAGTTGTATGTGTCGATGGGATGACTCGGCGGGTAACTTTTTGTCTTCGAAAAAAAAAAAAAGGTTTAGAAAATCAGGAACGACTGCCCCTTTTACATCAGGTCGGCCCGTTCCCCTGGATCCGCTGTAACTGTTTGATGGTTGGGTCCCTGCTCTCTAGCCCCTGTACCGTCCTATGTTATTACAAGGTAAAACGACTACGAAGAGACGACAAGGCCAAACAGCCATTACTCTCCAGATGTTTACAAACATAAGGCGGCGATCCTGTCTTGACAGACATTCCCCAGGCTTTTCCAGACTAATAGAATACTGCTGTTGCGTGGGTGGTTCTCTCTTTCAATCTAAAGCATCCTATCCCTTGGCTGTGAATAACCATCTAGTGTATACCCCTGTAGTTCTCCTTTTCTTGTCTGTAGCTCTGTTTTCCCCGTTGTCTCCGTTAGGTGACATCCCTGTGCCGATTTGTTAATAGTTGGGAAAAGAAGCGAAAACTCTCTCCAGATGTGTCTCTAGACGGCTCCCCCGTCTTGACAGACATGAATCTGTTTACAGCTTACCAAAGGTCAGAGACCGTTCATCACTTACTAGCCGACTCTTCCCTGAGTGCCCATAGTACTTACGACAACACTGGTTTCAGATGTCACTACGCGAATCATTT